GGGAAGGGGAACAGACAAGTTGCTGTCCTTTTGTTCTTCAGTCTAGTTGTGGAGGACATCGTGTCACTGGCCCATTGTTGGCATTAAGATCATTACGCTCTTCCCGGCTGAGGCAGTTGGTTGCCAGCCATTGGACGGCTGCTCATGCTGGCTGCCAGCCACTCACAGTAGCTCAGGTCGAGCTGTTGTTCATAATCTTAGCTGTAGAGGACGCAGTGTCCCTGGCCCATGTGGGAACTGAACCGGTGGCCCACTGCTCAGAGCTTGCGCTTCTAAGCCAACTCTTAACCAACTGAGCCACTTGACCAGCCCTTGCCTTACCTTCTTGATACATATTTTATTTACTTCACTCTCGGTCATCTCTAAAGCAGTTAAAATGGCACAAAGAATATCTTTTAACTAAAGGCTGGAAAAGACATGGGGGCCAGGGTGAGGTTAAATGAGGCAGGGGCTCCCTCTAAGGTACCAGGGCAGTTGTAGCGACTAGCTTGGACTAGGCTGTTCAGGGGGGAGTCTAATCTAGAATAAACAGATTTGGAGTTGTGGGAGAAGGTAGTCTAGTTAATATACAAAGTTTAGAATGATTGAAACAGAATGAAGGTGATTTTAGTAACTGAGGATGTTGAAATCCGGACGGATGACAGTAGATTGGGTAGAATGAAAGATGGTGATTTGGAAACTGTCATATGTGGAAAACTGAAAGAGGTAGCCTGTAAGTTGGTGGATTCCAGCAAAGTGATTTACAAAGTGGTGTAAAAGGTTGGTGTGGACTTCAAAGAAAGGCGGCAATCATTTTGTGAACTGTGGAACAAGGGCTTGAAAATGGTTCAAGGGATTAAGGTGAAGACTACTTTTTTGCTCTGACGTAGAGAGCCTGGGAAAGGAAAACAAAGGCATGGAGGAAATGCTTCTGCAATTTAGCAGTTTAGAAATAAGTGTCACAGGAAACACCCGACCCCCAGATGGATAAAAAAACAAAAGCAAAAGCTGAGCTAATGTTTGAGCTCATCAGCCCCATTACAGCACAAATTCTAGAAACTAACAGTAAATGGCATGTAGTAAGCACTCAATATTGTGACTTATTTCATTGCTAACTTTCCTTCCTATAATTATCTCAAACCAACAGAGATTGGATTCCGACAATGGAGAGTTGGTATGTGGCAGCACACAAATTTAAGTCTGTAGACATGCTTGGTATCTTGTGTTGAACATAGTCTTGAATTCCCTCAAGAGGGTTAGTGTGAAAATTAAGAGATGATACACATAGTAGGCATTCCCATCCTTTTCCTTAAAGGCCCTATTCAAGGGAGGCTGCTTTTTACCTGATGAATAGTTGTATTAGAAAGAAAATATCTAACATTTATTGAGTGCCTGCTTGCTCTCCCAAGTAGTGGGGTCAAGTACTGCTTTACAAGCATCAAACCATTTCATGTTACCAGCAGTCCTATGTAGGTACATAGGACATAGTACATTTTTATAGATAACAGTGAGGCTGAGGGGTTAAGTAACCAATGGTCACACAGCTAGGAAATGGTGATCCTGGGATTTGAACTCTAGCAGCCTGATGTTGGAGTCTGAGCTGCAGCTTCTTACATTGACACTGTGTTCTCAAATGGTGGCCACAGGCTACTAGGGTGTCAGACAGAATGATGGTTGGACTAGTTGAAGTAGAGCCCTCAGACCAGTGTCTTATGGCCTTTGAGAGCCTAGGTAATCATTTGATTACCTAGGGGTACCATATAAACATTATCCTTTTCCATTGTGGTGATGTGAAAGAAGATAAAATGGCAGATGGACTCCTGGCCCAATTTCCCTGGCAACTGTTGGGAAGGCATTTAAAAACAAAAAGACTTAGGCTGCCATCACATTTAAACAGAATTCACAAATATGTTCAATTTAAGACATTTTATAGTCTTTAAAAATGTGATTTTCAGTTATTTAGAATTGGTTCAAGTATATGCCATCCTTATAATAGAATATTATGCAGCCACTAAAAATGCTTATGGAAATTAATCTTTTAATATGTCCAATGGGGGAAAAAAAGGCACGTTACAAAGTAATATTCTGTGGGATGATTCTATTTTTATAAATCATCCAATGGACCATTCAATCCATGAAAATTTCTGAACCTCGAGTTTGCTAGGGGACATGCTAGATGCTGGGAATAGAGATAAGAAAATAAAAAAGCATTCTCTGTACCAAAAAGATGATAATGGCTGGCACAGAAATATCTCAGCAGTGGCAATAAAGTGAAGAGGATATGCAATGGAAGTGTGTGGAGGATACCAGATAGGCAGAGGTGGTGCATTACCTGCGTGGGTGATGAGGGAGAATACTCTTGGGAGTAGGATCCCTTAGCTGAGTCGCCAAGGAGACAAAAACATGTGCAAAGCACATAAGTTAGACCTCCATGGATATTACTGAGGCTTATACTAAAATTACAGAAGTTCTTTAACCTAACAAAGCTCCAAGAAAGTTGAGGGTAGAAGAAAAATAATCTGTGGTGAGATTTAAAATACAAAAGGGTGGGCCGGC